TGTGCCGCCTGTCATGCTCCTCCTTCTCCCAGCTGTGGGTCTCAGCCCTGCGCCAGTCCTGCTGCCCGCTGCCCAAGGGCTGCTTGTCCTGGCTCCAGCCAGTGCTGTGTGCACATGTGCACAGTGTACAGCCTGCCCATGACTGCCAGGATGTAGCCAGATCTCATATCTAACACCAATCCTGTCCTCTGATCACTGCACCTGGGGGAGATATCATTTGTCCTTTCTCCTCCCCTTGGGATAACAATCATAGGACAACAAATCCACAACCATGATCCTCAGACCCAAACGAGTACCCCAACTTCTTGCAACTTATCCCTCGGTGGGCTGTGGGTGGACACTGCTCCCCAGCATTAGATTCTGATGCTCTCTCAAGCCTGTAAGAAGATGTAGGCTTGTGGAACTTGCATCCAGACCCAGAAGCCCTCCATGCTTTTGCATCCCCATATATCGAGATGACTTCTAGATAAGCTTGACTTCTTAAAAGGTACTTAAACAGCAATAACTGCACTTTCAGAGGGCCACAAATGCTCAGATGAGTGTTAATGACAGTGATTTGGGGGCTGAAATGTCCTGCACCAGCTTCCTTCCTTCCAAACGATTTTCAGGTTTCCCTTGCAAATCCTACCAGTTCCTAATGACTGGAGTGGTTTTCAGTGTCATCCATGGACCGCTGTGAGTCTGAGCGCCTTTCAGGGAACTATGAGGGCAAAAGTGCTTTTTCAATACAGTTGAAGCATGATTTTCTTTCTTGCCTTGGGCTCACTTTTGCACTGCTAGCAGACAGTCAGGATGGGGCACAACGACTGGCAATGCAGCCAGGTCTGGGCAGTAGCGCTAGGTGATATCAGCAGCCGTGTATTCTCTGCGAACTTGAAGAAATAAGAAAGCAAGTTTCCCTTTGGAATGTCCTTGAATGAAGCAGTGAAAAGTATTAACTGTAGTGACTCAACTTCTAGGCTTGTATTTCTTTAATGGGGTGGCAGAAAAGGACACTTCGGCTGGTAAAGCAGAAGGCTGCCATGAAGCAGAGCACCTGTGTCACTGTGTCATGCACTGAACCAGCTGGTTGGTCACTGTTTCATGAAAAACATTTTTTTTTTCCAAAGAATGACTAGGAAACTGGTTCTTTGGGCAGGGGTAATGAGTAGTCAGTTTCTGGATAAAGGAACAAAGTGAGCCTGTCACCACCAGGCAAACCAACAACAGTACTGGCCGCCAGTGGTAAAACTTGAGCTTCAAAGTGAAAATGAAAATTTTAGAAAACTTGTAATTTGCCACACGGAGGTTGGCAACTTTCCTTAACTGAAAGACTCCTCTGATGTGACTGGTGGTAACATCATGTGATAATATTTTATCCTGTAAAATGCAGTGGGTCAACACTTTGGAAAACCTGCATAGCTCCATGAGCCACTGTTTTCCAAATGACCACAGGGGGACATTACCAGGTTATACGTGGTGGAAAGAAAGACTAAACCACAGGTCAAGACAGCCCAGTGGGCCCTGGTATGAGGCAGGAGCTGAGGTTTACTGCTATGTGTCCATGTTGCACAGGATGGTCTTTTAGAACCTACCACATGGGTTGGCATCAAAGAACAGTAGCCATAATTATCTAACAGGCTCTTAAAATACTCTTCACTTTTCTGACCACAAACCTAGATTTTTTTGTTTCTACTTTACCCCTAACAATGTATCACTGGGATGAATGCAAAACAGACAGGAAGAGCCAATGGTCACCTATGAATCCAGACAGTGGAGAGAGTCACAGGAACACAGGACATCACTACTGTTGTGAATTAAATTGTTTCATTCTGTTTAGCATAAAAATATGCTTCTTATATAAATATGTAATAGGTGTAAGATTATTTTTAAATGGAACAAAGGTACATATTTAAAAATATGTCAGTGTTAATTTCTACTGTGGTAAATACCAATAGATAGAACTCATAGTCACTATTCTTGGAATCATGGATGTGTTTGAAAACCATAAAAAGGGCATAGAATCAAAAGGCTTTTTTTCGGTACTGGGAATTGAACTCAGGATCTTGTGCTTGCCAGGTAGATGCTTGTGATCTGAGCTATATTCCTGGCCCCCCAAAGTTCTAATTCCTTGGATATAATGGGTAACAGCAGAGGACGCTAGCCCTGAAAGGCTATTTTCTAATCCTGCCTGGCTTGCTCACCAGAAATGGGCTGGGCCAAGGGATTTACACTTCTCTTTGAATTTCTCCCCTTCAGGTGGGCAACTGGGTCTCTGGTCTACTTTAGGTAGGACTTGCATAGACTGGTGAGGCAAAGGAGGGCTCTGCCCAGCTTATCTCACCCTCAAAAACAAAGTTGAAAGGAGACAGAGAGACAAACGTCAGTGGAAGTGTACAGGGTCTGAGCATGGGGACAAAGTCGCCTTCCCCGGGGATGACACTGAGCTACGATGGCACTTCTGGGCTTTGTGTGCTAGCATCAGACTCCTATAAGCTGCCCTTTAGAGAAAGCACTAGATAACTGTTACGGGTTAGGACCAGAGTACCCCCAAATGCTTCCTGTGGTCACAGATGGGGCTTGTGGAAGTTGACTGGGTCCTGGGGGCACTGTATCTTCTGTGGAGTCCTCCACTGGTGAGCTCAGCTGCTGAGCACACTGCTGGAAGGCGGGGCCTGGTCAGAAGGGGCGGGGCACTGGGGGGACGGTGCGCCTCCCTCCCAGGCTCCTCTACCTTGCTCTGTTTCTGGGCCCCTGTGAGCTCCATGGCTTTCCTCCCCGAGGCCCTCCCATCACGCCCTTCCTGCCTTAGAGCCAGTCATCCATGGACTGAAAACATGTACCAGAACAGAATGTGCATGGTGGGTATACAGTCCCAGCAATGAGAAAGTGACTGGGATTTAACTCTATTTTACTTCTTTTTAGTGAATTATTTTGTTGGAAGGTGGCATTTCTGCCTGAGACAGCTGACGGTGCCTAGGGGAGTGGAAAGCACCACAGTCCCAGGTCTTGGGATACCAGGCCCACAGCTTCGACTTCCTTGTATGCGTGTGTCCCTGCTCATCTCTTGCCAGGTGTCTTCCCCACAGCTTGCAAGGAGATGGCTAAGGAACAGTAAGGACGGTGGCCTTCGTTGGAACGCTGCCTGGCTGAGCAAAGTGCTGCCACTTCCGGAGCAGACTCTCAGGTCTCTCACTGTGTGGAGGCTTGATTCACAATTGCATCCCATTATCTGATATTTCAGTCTTTGTGGCATGCGTTTTGGGGAAGGGCTTCTGTAGGCTTGTTTCCATGGCATTTTCTTTTCGTGACATGTGTCGCTTGGCACTCAGTCGGCTAGGAAGGAGTGTATTCCCAGGTCATGTTTGCAGCTCCTTATCCCAGGGAACTGCTCAACACGACACAGTGTTTGCTCTTCGGATCTTCAAGGGCATGGTCTCAGCCGAAAGCCATAGCTGACACGGCTCTGTCGTTTGTTAGAGTTCTCTTCCTCCTTGGGGCTGGCACTGCTGGTCACAGTCTCTCTGAACATCAAGAAATGCCAGGAGCTACCAGCACCTCCAAGGATCTCCCTGCTCTTCTGAGAGCCCGGCGTGCTCAGGTCCTACCCCAGGACCTGGCAGGGCAGGTGAGCAAAGCACTGCCTGGGGAGCTGGCTCACGTCATGTGGCTTGTGTCTGAGCACACATGCTATGCTGCTGGCTCGGGGGAAGCACTGGGCTGGGAGTCTTGTGAGAGAGTGTCAAAATACAAGAGGGAGACGTGCGGTGTGCAAGTGTCCCTGCTCCGACACTGGGCAGCTGCCAGCCCCCTTCCTCAGCTGTGTGCAGTGGCTTGTGTCTAGTGCTGCTCATTCCCTTGGAAGGAACTGTGCCGGTACCACTACCACGAGGAAGCTTCCCACTGAGGCTCCCTTCTCTGCTTGCCCTTAGATCTCTTTTCTTAGCACTTTCTTTTGAGTCAGGGTCTCATTCTGTATATCTCAGGCTTGCCCTGAACTCATTGCATAGCCCACACATGAACCTCAAGCTCATGTTGATCCTCAAGCTCATGTTGATCCTCCTGCCCCAGCCTCCCACGTGCTAGTACACAGGTGTGCACCACCACACCTGGCTCTTCTGCGGGACTCTCCATGGCTATCATATCACACGTGCTTCGAACTTGGTGAAGCCAATGTCTGCCTTCTCTGACTAACCATGAGCCTTGTGAGTGTTGGGGGTCACACTTGGTTTGCTCACCATTGTCCTTGTAGCATCAGCAGAGGACCTGGCACACAGAACGGCTAATCTATCCATGCGGAGTGAATCATCCAAGGCATGAATGGCACAAGTGTGAACGCCAGCTGCCTTGGTGGTGCGTGTGTGAGCTGCTCTCCGGACCCCAGCTGCATCCCAGAGAGCACGACTCCTGACTGCAGGACTGGGCCCTCCCTGCCCACCCACTGGAACCTTCTAGGGGGCACTGTGAAGTGCTCTTTGCGATGCCGAGAGCCCTTCCGACGAGAACAGCAGCTGATCACTGAACCAGGATTGTGAGTTGTAAGAAGGTCTGAGGAGTAGCTGACAGGAGTGTGGGATAACAGAACTCCTGCTCCGAGAAGAAGGCCCAGCAGGGAGGCCTCCTTTTGAAAATGGGGCTGCATGCTTGGCAGTGTTGTGTGAAGGTGCAGTAGAAGCATCTGACTTAAGAGTGTGCCACTAGCCTGGTATGCCCGGGGACACTTCACCTGCATCTTTCCTGGAGCCAGGTAAATAGCCAAGGACCGTAGGCAGGCAGGGTGCAGAGCAGAGGCCAGGGGAACAGAGAACGTGAAGCAGGAACCTTCCACTTGTACCTTGGAATTTCTTTAGGGAGAGATGGGTCAGATATTCCACCCCAGACCGGCTGAGGCTTGAGCTGAGCTGGGCTTCCTGTTCCCTGTCACAGTGGACGCCTCTACTTTGGGGACGCCCTTCTTGAACCCATTCCATACAGGGTACAGATGCTGGGGGCAGTAAGCCTGTAGGGGGTGGGGCACTTACAACTCGGTCACGTCCTTGGGCATGCCTTTCGGGAGGGTGCGGAGGCCCCTGTTGCTGCACCGCACCACTGTGTCCACACAGGTGCACTGCTCTGGACAGCGTGGGATCAGCTGGCAGCTGCTCTCGTCATTGCCTGTGGAGAACCCAGTAGGGTGAGTGTGGCAGGAGGGAAGCCCTGCCAGGGGGAGTGGGGGAGCCAGGCTGGGGTGGAGCTGTCCAGTGGTTCCATGGGGACTGGGCTCTCCCCTGGGGTTTTGAGCTGACCCAGGATTAAGGTAACCGCGGGTCTTCTCCATGGTTGGATTAGAGGAAGGGCTGCCTGCCTCTCACTGTGCTTGACAGAAAATGAGGACCACCAAGGTGGCTGGGATTTGATTAGCCAGAGAAACAGATAGGGAAGAGGTTGCTGATAATCAGATCAGGAATAAACTAAGACTGAAGGAGTGGTCAGGGTGGAGGACAGAGTCCTGTCCTTCCCCCTCCTGTCTCCTCTTCTAGTCACTACACAGGCCTGCCCCTGGCCCCATTATACATTAATCTGCAAACCAATTCATCTCTCCTTAGATGACCTCAAATTACTTAAGTAAGGAACCCTCCTGGTTTGATTCCTTTAGACAAGCAGGGTCTCTGGGATGCCGGGACCCAAAGCCTCAGATCTTCCTGTGTTTATATCCCCTAGGCAGCGACAGGCTTTTTCTTGGTCTGTTTCTCACATGCTAAGCTTTGCTATGACACAGACAGGAAGACTCAGGCCTAGGACTCCCACAAACAGCTGTAGTTATACATGGTACAAGGTCGTCAGACCATCTGAGGGCCACCTATCTCACTGTCACTGTGGACGTGGTACATTAGTATATTTGGTATGTTTGATACAACAGTGTTCTCGCAGCTGGCAATGCCTTGCTGTAGTGCAGTGTCTTATTTTAATGCACTCAGCACATTATGGAAGGCTTCTGATTGGTGGAAGTAAAGCAACTTCAGAAAGGGGCACTTTGTCTTAATTTGCATGAAGGAGTCGGAGGGCAGATCTCCTCCTGGGTCCTGAGCTGCAGCCAGCACCACCTTGCCTTCCCACATGCCCCTGTCCCTGACCTCCTGGTGCGCACTCACCATCGCAGGTGAAGTCCTGGCTGGCCACATCTTGGATAGGGATCTCCTTCAGGAAGAAGGGCTTCTGGCACCGGGGGTTCCCGCTGACGATGCGCCTCTTTCGCAGCCACTTGCCGAGCCAGGCCAGGTGGCAGTTGCAGTTGAAGGGGTTGGACAGCAGGTTGCTGTGGAGGGAGAGGCCTCTCTGAGTGGGATGAGCCCCTGCAGCCCTGGCCCAGTGCCCAAGGGGTGCAGAGGTGGTGTGGAAAGGGACTGTGCACCCCCTCCTGAGCCAGGTGCGGTCTCTGCAGGTGTCGCACTGCAGGCCTCCACTGGTGGACATGGCTGTGGTCTTTTGCTCGGTGCAGCTGTGGGAATGGCCTGAGATTCCTTCCTGCTGGCAGAGCATGGCTCTCATGTCCTCTGCAATAGCGGTGATACAGTGAGTAGTCTAGTTTCTACGTGGGATGCAAGTGGGCCTTGTGCTTTGGACTCTTAAGTCCATGAGGGTGGTGACTACAGCTGCTTGCCAGTCTCCAGGATCTAACCCACAACAGGCACCTCGTCCATATCTGGGGAGTGATGGGGCCAGAATGAGGGGTAGATGGGGGAATGGTAGCAGCTGTCACCATGAATGTCTGCCTTCGGGCTAGGACCATGCTAAGCACTTCATGCACCATCACCACAGTCACACTTGTGACAACCACTCTGTGAGGAGGGGACACTGTCCTCACTACAAATGAGGAAAGGAATGCTCAGGCCAGAGAGTCCTCAGGTGGCTGCCCTGAGATAAGGACTCAAGAACTCGGGGCCAGCTTTGTGGGGTAGAGTCAGCCCTGCAACTAGGGAGGGAAGCTGGTCAGTTCCTCCTGGGTGGAATGTTTCCTCTTTGACTCCACCCCTGGGAGGCGGAGCTCTTTGGCTCTTTGACACTGCCCCCTGGGTTTTGGAGGTGGAGGTGCTAGAAATGGACTAATATGAACCAAGCCACCAGTGTTAGTCCCTAACCCATGGTCCCTTGATGGTGCTACTCATGTATCCCATTCATTCCCTCCTCCACCATCACAGACTGGACACCAACTCAGGTTCTTAGCGGGGGTTTCAGCAGGGGCTACTGCTGTTGAAGGGCTGGATGGTGGGATAAGCAGTGAGCCACACAGCGGCATCTCCCTGTCCTTCTGGCCCTCACCTGAAGGCTGAGGGGAGCACCTGACTAGCAGGAGTGAGTTCTTTATAGTTCATCTTAGAAAATAGTTGGTGTTATATAAGAATGAGGACAGCAGGGCCAGGGGGCATAGGAGTAATGCCTGGGGGGATGGGGTGGGCATGGATGAGGGGTGGGCTGGCCAGGAGGAAGGATGTTCTATCTAGTGGGGGCAGGCAGGGAGGTGAAGGGAAGAGGTGGGAAGATAGGGAGCTGGGCTGGAGGGAGAAGGGGCTGACCAGTCCCCAGGGCTTGTGGACATTGCAACCCCAGGCTTCTGGGCAGCAACTTAAGGGGTGGCAGCAACAGGTATTTGTGGCTTCCAAAGGGCTTTGGGGAGAGGGAAGAGCTAGGACAATTACCAGCAGCTACGGAGAACAGAGTCCCCCAGAAATATGAGCAACTGTAAAACTAACACATGTCAGGCACTGCCTACAGAGAGGCCCTTGCTGTGTGTTTTGCAGATCTGAACAGATTCAGTCGTTATGAAGATCCTGGGGGGTGGGCCGCACAGAAGAAGGGAGAGTGGAAGGAGAAAGAAATGAAGCGGCTCTGCTAGCTGGTCACACAGCGAGTGGGAGGCGAAGCCGGGGTTTGTACCTAGAAGTTTGGCCCTAGAGTTCGCAGGGGTGAACTGCCCGGGGAAGGAGAACACATTTAAGTGTCCAGAAAGCTGGATTCCAGCTCTGATTGTGGTCAGCATGGAAGCAGTCAGTGATGTCTTTTTTGCCACCTCTTGGTGATCACTTCCTCTTCTCATGGTAGAAGGCCTTCCTCACAGGCTGGCCCTGGCCTCCTCTCCAGGCCTTGCCTTGCATTGTGCCCTTCTCTACTCGCAGCCCTACTGCCTTTGCTCAGCCCTGCGTATTCACCGGGCTCCAGTCAACCACCGGGCCTTGGTACATGCTCTGTCTGCTGAAAGAACCGCATTTCCCACTGTCTTCAGCAAGCTAAACCCCAGAAGACATTTTCTCAAACAAGCTTGTGTTGGGTGTTTGTATCGCTGAGGTCTCCTCTTCTTTGGCAGCTTATCACTCTGTGACCCCAGGAAGATAGGGCCGGCCAGGTCTGCCCGTTCTCAGTATCTACATGGTGCCCCGCATATCAGAGGAGCCTAACAAATATTCACTAAGTAAACAGAAGGACCCACGCTTTGGCCAAAGATAGGAGAGACCCAGAGGGGGTTGCTGGGGAGATCACGGCAGATGAGCCCCAAGGAGTGGGCTGTGGAGCACTTACATGGTGGACAGGGAGACCAGTGTGGTGAAGGCTCCGGGGGTGATAGTCGTGATCCGGTTGTCATAGAGGGAGAGCAGTCTCACGGAGCTCAGGCCGGCGAAGGTGTCATTGCTCACACAGCTGATCTCGTTGCTCCTCAGCATCCTGCGGGGAGCGGGGTGGGCGTGAGGGAGCGGAGGCATCCAGCTTCCTCCCCAGATGGTACTTGTATAACAGGTGGGACATTTGTGTCAGCCCCTGGCTTAGCCCCCAGGCCACTCAGCTCTGTCCTGTGATACGCAAGGAAGGCCTCGATCCCCACTGGAGCAGCGCCCGCGTGCATGTGTGTGTGTGTGCATTCTTGTCTGCGCATGCTCTCTGCTGCTGGTGGCAGCGCGGATCAGGTGTCTGTGGGCACACACATGGATCCTGATGCTGTTACGGTGGCATGTGTATTTCTGGGAGGACAAGAGGGGACGAGAAGTAGCTATGGGTGGGCACTTTGTGTACGTGAGGTGTTGTCCACATGCCCCTGCTGGGACGTGTTCACGTGTGCAGGATGTGTGTCTGTGTGTCTTTCTGTGAATGTGGGGAGATGTTTCTTTGCTTCCTCCTGGTAGGAACAGCAGGGAGTGGCTCTGCAGGGTGTGTGTGTGTGTGTGTGCTGGGCTGCCCAGCTTGTGACTGCCTCTCATCAGATGTGGGGGCCCGAAGGGGTCCTGAAGATCAGGACGGAACCTGCACACACCTCTCTGATCCCCCTGCCCTCCTGTCCCGGTGCTCACAGGGTCTTGAGGCCGCTGAGGCCGCGGAACATGCGCCCATGCACGGTCTCCAGCTGGTTCCCCGTCAGCATCAGCTCCTGCACGCCCGCCGCTCCGTCAAAGGCGCCCTCTCGCACCTCCTTGATCTTATTGTTGCTCAGGTTTCTAGAAGGAGTCACAGAGCATCAGGTGAACAGTGATCACAGTGCGGGACCTTTGGGGGCTTGAAGGGAGCCCTGGAAGGAGGGGGAGCTCCATCTCAGGTCCCTGGTGTTCAGTCCTGGGTCCCTGTGCCTGGGAAAGGAACTGCAAGTGCCCCGCAGGAGGGGCCACCTCGGAAGCAGGATGCATGGCATCCGAAGAGGCTTTTCAGTATCATTATCTCTTCCATGTCCTGGGAGACTGGTAGGTTTAATGCAGTGAATATTAAATTTAGTTTCTCTTTTTATCACATAGTCTCACTAGGTAGTGATTTGTTTAAATTTTATTTTGAAGTAGGACTTCATGTTGTGGTTTAGGTAGCCTTGACTACATGGCAACCCTCCTGCCTCAGCTTCCTGTGTGCTGGGATGACACCTGGCTTATTTATTTACTTATTTTGTAGTATGAGGCACCTTCTCACTAGGCTACACCCTTATTAAAGAGTTTTATCTACAAAGTCTCACTAAGTTGCTAGATTGTTTAAACTCAGTTAGAATTTAAGACCCTCTTGCCTCAGCCTTCCATAGTACTAGAAAAGCATGGACCACCATGTCTAGCTCAGAAAAGGACTCTTGAGAAGAAGGTGGGAGAAAAAACACGAAGCATGTCCCCTGCTTGTGGGAGTTAGTCATTTGTGCAGTTCCTGACATAAGCAGACACATTCTGGTTAGCACTTTTTATGTAGTAGATATCTAACTTTCATAATCCCAGCAAGGTGTCAAAATGACACCCCTCAGACTGGGACTATTACAGAGGAAAGCGATAGAGCTTCAGAGAGATTAAGCAAGTTACTCATAATTACTGGGCTGGGAGGCCTGGACTGAAGCCAGGTTTTGCTGACATGGAAAAACCTCTCCACTGGACTGTCCCTTTTATGAAAGAATATTTCTTTGGTGCCATGGGACTCCCTGCCTCACGGTAGTTGCTCTGAGAATTCAGGATTGGGGGCATGAGTGCTGCTGCTGCAGGGGCTGGTTTGTGCACTGCGCTCGAAGTGCAGACCCTTCCCTGTGGGGGCCAGAGGCCAGGGCGGCTGCTGGCTAGGTCAGGGATTGGGGTGGTGATAGGAGGGGGCTGCGAGTGCTTCCACTTCTCAGTTTCTCTGAGGAGGCAAAGGAGGGCATGTTCAGAGACTACAGGGATGTCCTGCTAGGGGGATGCAGCAGAACTTGGGGATGTTAGTGTACTCTCACTGGATCTGTCTCCTGCAAACCAGAAAATCTGTACCCAAAGGCTCTGTGGGCCTGCAGCCAGCTCTGGGGGTCAGGTTTCCTCCTCTTCCCCAGGACAGAGTAACATGGCCTGCATGTGTGGGCACAGGCACGTGGGTGTGGAGAAGACAGACAATACTGTTCTCCCTGGAGTCATCTGTTCCTTGCTGTGATCCTGCTCTCCTCTTCCCCTTTCTGTTCTGCTAGGAAAATGGGACCAACAGCCCCAGACGCCCTGGCCCAGGACATGTCCTGAACAGTTTCTGCTCCCCTCTGGAGACATCCTAAAATTCAGCTGGTTTCTGATCGAACCCAGCAGCCCTGGTCTGGGCCGGAGGGATGAGGCTCATGTGCTAGGGAGACCACAAATTACCACCAAAGTGGACGGGAGGAGAATGAAAGGTTCTGCTGCTGGCCATAACTCACTGGGATGCTGAAAGAGGGAGCTGGGCTGCTCAGGCAGTGGAGCTGAGCTGAAGCAGCTTGGAGGGGGAGGGCTCCCATTTCCTGATGTCTGTTTCTTTAAACCAGCAAAATTAACATCACATTATTGTAAGGCTTGTGAATTGCATTTCCTCAGGCTGAGAGAATGAAAAACAGAAGGAGAGTCAAAAGGAGGAGATAGAATTTTCCAGAAAGGCAGGTCCTCTTGCTGTCTCGCTGTCCATCAGAGAACTATTGCTCACTGTAGGCTGTAGTAGGGCTGGAGGCCAGAAGGTGCTGTTTGGGGCAAACATTCTAGAAAAAATGAGCACATGGGGATTTGATAGAGTCCTGACGTATTTCTAGAGTGGGGGTGTCTTCCAAGAGGCTCCAGATACCAGAGCACCCCAATGTACAAAAGCAAGGTCCTCGGGGGCCTCCTTCATCTTGTTCTCTATCTGATCTACCTGAAAGAAAATTGTCTTCTCTTGGGATCTTACACCTGAGAGCCCCTGGCCTTAGCAATTCTCACCTAGACCTGGGCCTCTGTCAGCTACTGGTCCTGTCAACCCTGCTCTTCCTGTCTCCAGCAGTCAGGTTCAGTCAGGTTCACCTGGCTGCCAGCAAGGTGAGCACTGGCATCTTCTTGGGTTATGTCATCTCAGTGTCTCATCTTCAGGGTGCCCATCTACTTTGCCAACACGGAATGAGCTGGAATCCTGCCAGGAGCCCAGTGTTAAAGAGAAATGTCATGGGGAAAGCTGAGTGGAACATTCTGAAATTCAGGCCACTGAGTCATGAGTGAGCGATGCTCCGGCACAGTCAGGATGAGGGGGCGGGGTCCTGTCCATCGCCTTCCAGTCCTGACCTCTTTGAGGTAGAAATTCTACTTCAAATGAGGGCTGCAAGTTCACCCGTCTATGTCTGGCAGGTGACTCAGTGGAGATAGAAGTAGGCCTTGTGGGGGACAAAGGGGACCCCAAGGCACATGTCTGATCTAAGGGGGCAGCTACTGCTTGGTGCAGTTCAACTTGGGCCCATTGGGAAAGGGGGAACCTCTTCTGCCAGAGCACCTGACATTCCCAAAGAGGCCAGCACTGTAAGCACTGTAGTTTCTATGAGAACTCCAGGTTTTAAAAAGTGGGCAATTGATTCTTATTAAAAATACAATTGGCAAGGGCTGGCTAAATAGCTCAGTGGATTAAAGTGCCTGCAAGCAGGCTCAGCGGCTGGGGTTCGATCCCCCCTGCCGAGTGTGCCCTGCCCCGGGGGCACCCTGAGATGGCAATTGAGACTGGGCGTGGTGGCATGCGCCTGTAATCCCAGCTCTTGGGAGGCTGTAAACACGCAGATCACTATGAGTCCAATCTAGTAGTGAGACCCTGAACACCCTGTAGACCCTTCCCCCCCCCAAAAAAAAAAAAGAAAGAAAGAAAGAAAGAAAGAAAGAAATACAACTGACAAATAAAAAACAGACACCTGATTTTGGTTGAAGGATCACTAGTTTCAGCTTCTGGTTGAGAGTCAGTGTCAGATGTGACCTGGGAGTTTACTTGAGAGAGGTTTTGACTCTGAATGCTATGTCAGGTGGTCTTCTCTTTCCTTTTCTTCCCTCTGCTTTCCTTCTGTCCCCTCCCCTCCCCTCCCCTCCCCTTCCCTCCCTTCCCTGTTTCTTTGTTTCTTCGTTGTCTGGGACCCAACCTAGGGCTAAGACTGAGCTCCACCCTAGCCGTGACACCATTTGAAAAGCTACCCTGAGTGGCCACAGTAGCCCTGACCCTATGCAACAGTCCAGTGCATCCCTCAGCACAGGTGATACCTGGATCCCTCCCATCACCGCTGGGCTGTATGGTGGGTGTGAGGAGGGGACAGAGGATGCAGGCTGCGTAGGGGTGGCACGGAACACGGGCTCTGCACAATGCTTGATAATATACACAGTGACATCTCATTTTGATCTGTGCCTACACGTCCTGCTTCCCAACACATCCATAGCATGCGTTAGGAAGAGGCTGCGAAGCACTGAAGCAGAGGGTGAGGGGACACCAGAGTCCTAGCGTTCTGCTCTAGTCTGAACAGAGACCCTCACCAAGGAGGCAGCTGCCATGTTCCCGATCTGACTTACATTTTCCGCAGGTTGGGCAACTTCTTGAAGATGCTGGTGGCCTCCAGGACAGATATGTCATTGTCGTTCAGTCGCCTGCACAGGAGGTAAGAGGAGGAGGTGGATTAGCTGTGCCTGAGGCACCTCTTTTGCTGTCCCCGGCCTGGCCTCCCCGCATGGCTTCAGGCGTGTTGTCAACTGAAACTCAGATTCCATAAAGACCAACAGAGCTACAAAAATCTTCAGCCGCACCCACATGGGGCCCTCAGAAAGGAGAAGGGGCAGAAAAGAGACCTTCAACTTGCCTCCTTCTCCTCCCTCAGGAAATCCCCTTTGATGGGATAGGTGGGTTAAGGGACTTCCCACCATACTCTGTATAACCAAGTATCTGCTTTCATTTTATGTGGGTACCAATGGCAACATAAAGCCCAGAGGAAATGTGTTCCAGAGTTTCCCAGGCTCCAAGGCCACTTGGCTGCTTCCTGACCACTTCCTTCTGCCAGAGGCATCTCAGGACCCCACACTCAATGTCTCTATGTACTCAAGGGGAGCCGGCTGCCACACCCTACAATGCAAAGTCAAAGAGAATGCTAAGAATAATAATGCTTCTGCCGTTTACTTAAGGGCTTAACCCAGTCCAGGGTTAAAGATGAAGTCTGTGCTGTGTCCCTTTCTTAATCTTTCAACCTAGAAGTGAGGCACTATTTACCCCATTTTGAAGCTAACAAACTGAGCCTCAGATCCCAGAAACAAGGTGGCAATATTCAGGAAGACTGGAGGAGAGAGGCATCTGACCCAGCTCCCACAGCCTCCTCCTGGGCCCTTAATACTTGTTATCTATATGCCTTTAGTTTTTCCACTTTTATTTTTTTGTACTGGGAATTGAACCCAGGACCTTGTGCTTGCCAGGCAGGTACTGTGCCGCTGAGCTACATCCTCGGCCCAGCTTTTCCACTTTTGAATGAGACAACATGCCCTTTATTAGCATGGTTAGTTGGAGGCTCAGATATATTTAATCACTTTACAGTAATTGTTTTCTTGCTCTGTTGCAAGTTTTCATTGACTCCTTATGTTTCTGGTGAATTAGAAAGAACTACACTGGTACCTCGGTCTAAAAACTTAATTTGTTTTAAGATTTGGAGGAAAATATATGCATTTCTATTTATGTGTGGAAGATGGTGGTGAGCATGTTTGTCATGTTACTTGGAGTTTGCAAATGAAGCAGAATATTACCAAATGCTATTTGTGAATTGAATTGTTTGCAGACAGAAGCATTTGTGAATCAAGGTATGATTATGTTCCAGAGGGCCATAGGGGTTGTCTACTTTATTCATTATTGAAACCATGGACCTAACACGGTCCTTAGCATTTATGAAAAAATGTTTTCATTTTATGTATTTGGTACAGGGTCTTGCCATGCAGCTCAGAATCATAGTGATCCCCTCCTGTTTTCAGCCTCCCCAGTGCTGGGATTACAAGTGTAAGCCACCACACCTGGACTCAGTCATGGCTTAGCATGCCTTGGGGGCAGGGTCAGCATGGCAAGTGGAACTAGGATTGAACCCTGGTCCCTGCACTTGCCAAAGCAGGCATTTAGTCTGCTGAGTTATCTTGCTGGTCCTATGAAATATTTTAGAATGGATGCACTGTCTTTCTGTGCAGACAAACTGTCCACAGATGCCTGGGTATCTGGCCTTAGCCTAGTACAGTGATGACGAACCTTTTAGCACCTTCAGTGCTGACAAACAGCCAGCAGTGGCACCTGTGCACAGGTTTGCCACCACTGGCCTAGTACACAGAGAAAGGCCAAAGGGGTGCTCGTATGACTGAGCCAGAAGGGTTTAGGGTTCAGGGGGACCTACCCAGGCTGGCTCAGGCCCCTGGGTCTGAGCAGAGAGGGAGAGGAAGTCCATGCAAAGGGAGGACTTACAGGTCGGTGACATATTCTGGAAGGTGGCTTGGGATGCGGGCTAGCTTCTGGTTCGAGCAATCCACAATGGTGCCCTCACAGCGGCACTTCTCAGGGCACACGAGGTCCATGAAGCACTCGCTGCTGAACCTGCTGCGGTAGTCCTCAGAGCCTGGGCAGGGCCAAAGAGGGTGTCAGAGTCACTTGGGTTCCCTGGCTCAAGGCCTGAGGGTGTGGGTAGTGGGAGTGAGGATGCAAGGAGGCCAGACGAGTTGGGGTTGTGTGTATAGTGGAGGCCAGCGACAGGCACAGTGGTGTCACCTTCATTATCTGGCCTCCTTGCTGGTGCTCTCCCTGCCCCTCTCCAGCCTCCTCTCTTTCCTTGTGGTCTTTGTCATCAGCTTCTGTCCTCAGGAAAGCCTGGCTTAAGGTCTGGGGCTCTTCAGGTGACTTTGTGGGTCACCTTATTGAGAAGCTGCTAAACACTGTGGCTGTCCTGCCCAAAGAAATGACCCAAGATATCTACCTATAGAATCCAGCTGACCCTTTTAGGGAGGCTAGGTGCTCCATGAATCCTCTTGTCCAAGGGCTCTCTAAATGTTCATGATAAACCAAATGGAAGAGATTTTGATAAATATTTCATGGGAGTTTATTCCAGGGATAGGAATAAGATATGGGAAAGGGCCACAAACTCAGCTGTCTTCCAGGCCTTGCAGGCATTAGAGTGAAGGAAGCCAAGCATATAGCTATAAATGGCCATTGGTGTCAGCCTTTGATACTGGACGGATGACAGGGAAGTTATCTGGAGAATTAGAGCTCGCAATCTTAATGCTTGGGAATTGCCCTCAGAGGTGCCTGATATTCCTTTTTTTCCCTTGGTTTTCCCTAAGAGAGTCCAAATATTTAAAGAATACTGGTAATGAATTCAAATTGGAAACACTGTCAAGATAAGCAGAATGCATTTGAGGGTCAGATTTGACCTCTGTCTGAGAGAGTAAGTTTTGTTTAACTATGGCGGAAGGCCATTTCCCATGAGTTAAAAGTTGGAGCTCAGATTTATCTTTTCCAAATTGCATTTCGCTCAAGGTCACACAGTAATGGTAAGGAGACCAGCGATCTGATGTCTCCGAGATGCCCAGGGGAGCAGCGAAGCAGACCTCTGTGAGCCCATGAATTATGCTAGTGGTAATGGGGGTGCTCTGGTCCTCCTATCAGACATGAGCTCATGGATGGGGCTGCAATGTCTTCCCTCTCTCACCCTTCACGTCTCCTAGGCATACTGCCAGGCTCCCAACAAGTGCTGGATCCACATCTGTCCAGCACAAAAGCCAGGTGCCACTGGCAGCTGGGTGTCCTGTGTATACCGATGGGATGTTTCACAGTGTGGACAGCCCTGGTTTACTGAGCAAGTGGGGACATTGCCTTGCTGATCTTACGTGTATCAGCAGCAATGTGCAGCCCGCGGAACACGCAGGGTTTAGCAGGGGAGGGCATGGTCGGGCCAGGCTTTGCTAATGACTAGCTCAAGTCTCTCCACAGGCAACATGGAATCAAGTAACAACTCTTCTATCACATAGGTTGATGTGAAGATCAAGGACTAAGGCACTGGGGTCTCCTGGAAGGAGGCAAGTGAGCATGGGTGCTTGTGATTTGGCTGCTGCTCTTTCTTAGAACCTGGCCAAACCTGGCGTATCAGAGATACTAACATGTCAGTGGAGCCAATGGTAACAGCCGATATTTACTGAGCATCTACCATGAACCAGGCACTATCCTTTGAACGGCAAGTGATTCCACGTAGTCCCTGCCATACCCTGAGGTTCCAACTCCATTCTGTAGATGAGAAAAGCGAGGCCTACTGGCTGCTCAGTAGGCAGCAGGGGGACAAACCCAGGAGGGCTGCTGCCAGGGCCCACATGACTAATGCTGTGCTTTACTGCAAAGGTGCTTTTTGGCTTTTTTTTTTTTTTTTTAATTATCCCAGTGCCTCTAGGAACATAAAGTCAAACATGGTGGTGGTGGATGGAACAAGATTTCTCCTTCACTGAGCTATTGCAAGGGAGAAAGTGGATATCTCCCTCTGTTTTGCTGTGTCTGTGCTCATTTTGCCTCCCTGTACTAACTGCTGATGGGCAATGCACCCACTAGCGCCTACCTGAAACAGCAGCAGCCCGGCTGCATCTTCCTCTCGCTCTCAGTTCCCTCCCCCGCACCCCCTTCTTTCATCTCCCCTGCAGCCCCAGGCTTGCATGGACACAGGCCTTGCCCATCATCCTCACATCTATTTGGGCAGCTTCCTGGCCCAGGGTATGAAGCAGATCCCTTGCCCTTGTCTTGCCAGCATCGATCCCACTGAGCAACTCTGACCTGGACCATTTTCCTGAGTCACCTCGGCATGCTGGGTCCTGGGAGAGTCTCATTTTTCAAACTCTGCCAGACGACTCACTCTTCTTGTTCCCTAGCAGGGCACCCATGTGGTGGCGGTGTGAAGGGGGCATTTGGCACATGTGGGTATATTATTCTTTCAGAATGCGTCTATAATGGGATCCTTGCAAAGCAAAAGAAGGCTACTGCTCATCAAAGACAGAAAGACAGAAGGGAACACAGTTTGCTCTTCAACACAATGAGCCTGAAGACACGTGCTGGCTGGGGACAGCCGCCTATTAAATGCATTTTCGTTTTAATCAAGGTGAGAGCAGTCTGTAGTTAGCGGGAATTGCTCTCAGTAGTATAGTTAGATTATAACGGGTGGACCTCTGCAATAGAGCCGCTGACCCATTTTAATGAAATGATTTTGCAATTAGATTCGATGGACTAATGTGTTCTTCGCACCATTTTTCCCCCTGCTGTTTTTGTTATTGCCCTGGTTTGCAATAACGAGGGGGTCGCGCAGTGATATTTTATACAAGTGGGAGCCAGAAATGTTAATAACAGCATATGTATATAACCAAAGAAGTTTGTTCCCCAATCTGAGCCAGCCTGAAATGCCACCTCCATCACTTCATATTTCATTACCGAAACTACCCAGGGTTTCTCGGAGCCATTTGTTATGCCTAATGCTCATAACTACCCAAAAGTATTTTTAACTTTTCCAGAGCTTTAAAAGTCAATTTCAATCTCAATGCATATTTGTCACTGCCAGAAATACTTAGCAGGAGAGAACCAACTGAAATAGGCTGCTGTGTCTCTTCTTTGGGGTGAGTTCAGACAGGAGAGATCTCTGAGGATTTGAAGAAGGGCCATAAAACTGAAGCCCAGCTGAAATGGGCCTTGGAAGAGCTGATGTCATCTGGCATTGTGCCTGCTCCTGCCCTGGAGCCCTTCTCCCTTTTCGCGGGCAGCTGAGAACAACGACACTTGGTACAGGATCACAGACAAGCTTTAATAGATGGGGTAGGGGGAAGGGTAGAAATCCACAGCAGCTCAGTTTTATTATAAATTCCTCCCTATAGTTCCTTCCCATGAGGGATACATGTGACAAGTGGAAGGGCTGAGACTGAGGCAGGAAGCGGGCCACACCTCTCATTCTCTGGATGGACTTGGCAGAGCTGGGATCAGAGGCTAGCACCAGGGTATCGGCATTTTAAGCATTCTGCATTTTCTGCCCTCCATTGGGCAGTGAGCTCAATGGCAATGAGTTCTAAGTCACATATTTATCCTTTTTTGGTCTGTAGGGAGGTACCAACTCATATGTCTAGGGCTTTTTCCCTCTACCCTCAATATTTCCAAGGATGGGTGGGAGGAGAAAAAGAAGGAAGAGAGCAGAAAGAGGAATCAGGTGGATTATGAAGGCCTATCCAGTTCATCAGCTTGAAAAGAAAGTGCTGTGGACCAGCGAAGGTCATAAGTGGGAAATGGAATCAAGAGAACTTGGCCAGGCACACGGACATCCACTCCCCAGCCACACTGGGGACCACACAGCAGTGGCTAGAAGACACTATTTTAGCAGGAGTTTGGCCATCAGCTGGGCCAGGAGCTGTTTTAGTCATCTGTCCTCACTGGAGTCTATTATGAGAGCAGCCATCTGCCTGTCAGCGGGGGCAATGCCCACAGCACTGGGTACTCACAGCCTGCTGTGGCAGGGCAGGGGGGCAGCTGGAAGGGCACCACTGGATCATGGATCCATTCCCAAAGGCAGACCTGGCTCCTGGCATGGCAGGGCAATGCCAAGGAATGTAGCATGTCCTCTTCTGTGAGAAGGGAAAGGGAATTTCTCCAGGCTTGAGCATTTGCCCTGAACCCAATGAGATCTTGGTATATTCGCACTGGGTAGGGGGAACCAACTGAACAGGACTTCTATTTCTTACTCAAGTTATTTGTAAAAGCAAATATATGTTTGGAAGGGGCTACTAAAATTATTTTTAACTTCTCATCAATCCAAGTCAAAGTTTATACAAATTTCTAATTCAAGAAAATGGGCATGACCATAGCTGGGAAGGCTGAGTGTATAGAGGTAAGCCACAGCCAGTCTGGAGTGAGGTGACCCTGGACAAGCTAGTTAACTTCTCTGAGCCCTGATACAAAATGGAATTTAGAGTGTGGTAAAAATTAAATAAGGCAATGACATAAAATGTCTCAGGGCTAGCCTATAGTTAGCACTCCATGTATAATAAAAATTTCAAAGGTAAACAAGATAATGTACTACCCATCCATGGCTAGGCCCCTTGCTCTGAGAAGTAACCTTAGACAGGAGATAATGACAGTCACACTTCTTGAGGAGAACCCAAAATCCAGCTCCTAGTTTTAAATCTGAGCTCACCTTAGCTCACTCACGGGCTAAGACATAAACTCAAAATTTTTTAAAAAATGTTTTTGGTACAGGGTCTTACTACTACACAGCTCGGACTCATAGTGATCCTCCTGTTTTCAGCCTCCCCAGCGCTGCGATCACAGGAGTGAGCCACTATGCCCGAAATCTGTGGCTGGCTCAGTGCGCCTGGAGATGGGACTGGCACTGCATGTGGTGCTGGGGATCACACCCTGGTCCCTGTGCTTGCCTAAGAAGGCGCTTAGTCTGCTGAGCTATCTCGCCAGCCCTAAGACATAGACTCTAGAGCAGGAATCCAACTCTGGGCCCAGGATGTGTCAAGAAACAAGTGAGAGAGGCAGCACTAAGATCTCTCTTCTTAAGGTCAGAGAAGGCAGAGTCTGCACAGCCCCCACCTTGCACTGAAT